CGGCTGAGACGAGCTGGTCTGGAAGCTCAGTCCTCACCTCCTTCTACAGGTGTGCAGTGGAGAGCATCCTGTGCTCCAGCATCAACGTGTGGCATGGAGGCTGCACAGCTGCAGAAAGAAAAGCTTTGCAGAGAGTGGTGAAGGCTGCACAGAAGATGTTGGAGTCAGTCTCCCCACCATCACAGACATCTACACCTCCAGATGCAGGAAGAGGGCCACCTGCATCATGAAGGACCCCACTCACCCAGCACACACACTTTTTGCTCCACTCCCCTCAGGAAGGAGGTTGAGGAGCATTAAGTGTAGAACCACTAGACTGAGGAACAGCTTCTACCCTGAGGCTGTTAGACTCATGAATCTCTAACCAGAAGAATAACTGTGAAATATCACATCATGTTGCTGCTGATCTGTTTCATGTTGCTGCTGATCTGTTTCATGCTGCTGCTGATCTGTTTCATGCTGCTGCTGATCTGTTTCATGTTGCTGCTGATCTGTTTCATGTTGCTGTGTTCATTCTTACTCATCTGCTCACACAGACTCATGTTCGTGCTGCTGTTCAACATAATGTTTTTATGCTATTAGTGCTTCGTGTATATTTAGTTGATGTTTTTCTTAGTTCATATCTTAGATCTTATCACTGTTTTTCTTTTATATTTTATTGTGGAATGTAACTGGGACCCCGTGAACATAATCTCGTTCCACCACATGTACCACATGTAGTGTGAATGACAAAAAAAGAAACTCTGACTCTGAGGAAGTCACCAAAACCCAAAGATCCAAAGTTTCTGTTCCGACTTGTTCTCAAGCCAAAGACAGAACAATCAATATGCTGCTTGTTTCCATACCATCGCTTTGTAATGTAACTGTTTTGTTTCGGTTTTATATCATTTCTTCTGTTTACTTTTCATTTTATATGTTTTTATATGATTGTCTACTGTTGTCTGTACCTGATCTGTGTTCTTCAAATCAGGTCTCTCTTGTAAATGAGTCCTCGAGGCTCAATGAGACTAATCTGTAGAAATAGTCAAGTCAGATTTATTTATAAAGCACATTTAAAACAGGAAACAAAGTGCTTAACAAAAAGATCACAGCATCAAATAATAATAACAAGATATAATTACAGCATCTGGAATAAAAACATAAAAACACAAAATATAATCAGCAACGATGAAAAACTAAATGAGATCAGCCTGTGTTAAATGTCAGTGAGTACAGGTGAGTTTTCAGGAGAGCTTGAAAAGCAGAGACTGAGGCGGTCTGTCTGATGTTGGGGGGCAGGTTGTTCCAGAGTTTGGGATCACGACTGAAAAAGCCCGATCTCCTCTGAGATTCAACCAAAAGCAGCTGATCAGCTGATCTCAGCACCCGAGAAGGAGCATAAGGATGAAGAAGGTCAGAGAGGTATGAGGGTACAAGGCCATTGATGCATTTAAATGTTAAGAGAAGAATTTAAAAATCTATTCTGACACGTACAGGGAGCCAGTGAAGGGAGGACAGAACTGGTGAAATGTGCTCAGACCTGCGAGTTCCTGTTAAGAGCTGAGCTGCAGCATTTTGGACGAGCTGGAGACGTGAGAGGGACTTGACTGACCCCAACATGAAGCACGTTACAGTAGTCCAGTCGAGTTGTAACGAAGGCATGGACTCATTCTTCAAGCTTGGATCTGGTCAGCACGGACTTAAGTTCTGCTATCTGCCTTAACTGGAAGAAGCTTTTCTGCAGAACAGATTTAATCTGTTTATTAAACTTAAAGTCTGAGTCTAAAACCATCCTGACACGGTTACAGACTGCTTTAGATAAGGCTGAAGGGAGTGCAGGTTTACAGGGTCAGAGACAGCGGCAGAGCTAGGGTTAAACACAATGACCTCAGTTATCTGATCACTAATATTTAAGAAGTTCGTAGCCATCCAAATCTTGATGTCATCAACATTTTAGCAGAGGTTGAATGAAGTAGGAACTGTTAGGTTTTAGTGACAGATAAATCTGAGAATCGTCAGCATAACAATGAAAGGAAAGACCATGTTTCCTCAGGATAGACCCCAAGGACAGCAGATACAATCAAACGGAAGGGGTCCAAGAATGGAGCCTTGTGGGACCCTGCAGGAAAGAAGCACTGAAGCAGATCGACTGTTAGCAACATTAACACAGAAACTCCTGTTGCTCAAGTATGAACGGAGCCATTCTAACGGTGCACCTGTAATCCCAACCCAGTGCTCTAAACGCGATAAAAGGATACTCTGGTCAACAGTGTTGAATGCAGCAGTACGGTCCAGGAGTACCAGGATCACAGACTGACCCGAGTCATTTGCTAGGAGAATGTCATTACAGACCAAGGCTGTTTCGTTGCTGTGTAGCTGCTTAAAGCCAGACTGAAAAATCTCAAGAATAGAATTTTCATTCAAAAACTTGAATAAAATTGAATAAAAACTATTTTCTCCACGATCTTAGAAAGAAACAGACGTTTGGAGATAGGTCTAAAGTTTGAGCAAGTTGAAGGGTCAAGTCCAAGTTTTTTTAATTTACTGCATGCTTAAAAACATCAGGAACCACACCTGTAGCCATACTGCTGTTTATACAGTAATAGCAAGAACAGAGGGTCCAGTGGAGGGTAGGACTTGTTTAAGGGGAGCCTGAGGGTTTCATATGACCAACGACATCATTTAGAAATGACTGAAGACTGCTGAGCAGGGGGCAAAGACAGACGGGTCAGCTGTGGAGTGTGGAATCAATGACCTGATCGACTCAACCTTGTCAACAAAGAATCTGATCACATCATTACAGGCGTCTACAGAGGCATCCATGCTGGCAGACTGAGGCATGTTTCAAATGGAGTTCATGGTGCTGAAAAGAACACGGGGTGTTCGGACTGTTTGTGGCCATGATTTGGGAGAAATGTTTGTTTTTCTGATTTAACGGTGCTCTGATAGTCTTTGCAACGTGTTTTTAGCATGATAAAAGTTTGTCCTTCTTCCATTTACGTTGAGTTTTCCTGCATTCACTGAATAAAGGTTGAAAAAACACTGAAAGCAGAAGCTCACACCATCACCCACAATGCTTTGCTCCTCCGTGCAGACCTGAGTCTGGACTGTGAGCTCCATTTAAGGTGTTCATTTTTAGGGACTGGCTCCAACAACCTGGGTTTGGGTCGTTTTAAAAGGTTGGCTGTTGGTTCTGACCCGTCAGAATATGCTGCAGAGCTAAAACTCTCCAGGAAATTTCGGAACTGTGAGGAAGACACGTCCGGTGATGAAAAACATGACTTGTTGTGGTTCTGGAGGACCAGAACCCTGAGAGCACACAGGATGTTAGAGGGACTCAGCAGCAAGGTAGACCCGGTTCTGCTCACCTCTCTCATGGAACCAAAATGTTTGAGTCTCATCATTTGGATTTTAGGTCAAATCTTTAAAAATGTCCTGCAGAAAACTCTAATCCTCAAAAGGTTCCTCTAAAGAACTGAAAGAACCTTTCTTGTACTACCCATTCGGTTTGTTTCTCAGGTCTTGGTTAGACCGGCTGGGAGTCCGTCCACCGAGGATGAAGACGACGCTGGTCACGGCGCTTGGAGAACACCTGGTCCTGGGTCAGGACCTCAGCTCACCTGCCCTCCTCCATAGGTCGGGTTTCAGACTTCAGCTTGATGAACTCCTTGGCCACTTCGTCAGCGAGCCTCTGGGACAGGATCCGCATCACTGTGGTTCCGGTCTCATCCGTGTGGACGCGTGGGCCCAGAGGACACCAGCACACGCAGCTCTTCCTGTCTGCCACGTCTCGCAGCTGGACCACAGCCACGCCCACCACCCGGTCTGCCCGGCCGAAACAGTAGTCCTTCACCGTCACCTGGAGCTCGTAGCAGTCCGGGGACTCATTACCCAGAAGGCTGTGGGGCACAAGAAAAACCAGTCAGGACTGGAACGCTGAGTCAACATTCACTTCCTGTCAGGCAGGCATCACAACGTTCTCCTCGTTCAGGACGGCTATGACTTTTGGAGACATAGAACTTTATTTACATCAGAATCTTCAGAAACCTTAAGCTCTTTGAAAGTTCATCTGGTCGGGTCTCCTTGTGGTCTCTTCCAATCCTTCTATGTTTTCCATTTTTATCTTTTTTGTCTCCTTAAGCTTCATTTAGCACCAATATGTGTCCTTTATGTCTCACGGGTCTTTTCCCGTTTTGTCTCTGTCAGAGAATTTGTAGTCAAAGGTTATAGATGTTTTTATTATTGTGGCTGAGAACATTCTTCCTGTCTGCTCTGAGAACAAGAAACTCAGTGGTCTCCCAAAAAAATATTATCTCTGCCCATGAACCCTATGTTTGTACTGGGTGAGAAGGCTGCAGCTGCCTTCAAGGACGATTCCTGAACTCTGCTGACCTGATCATGTTGGAAAAGAGAGCAGAGAACGCAGCTCATGGCTAATTTCACTGACTGGTCCCCATGTGTGTACTTTATGTATATTTATGATCTTTATGTGTGTATTTTATGTATATTTATGTTCTTTATGTGAGTACTTCATGTATATTTATTGTCTTTACATGTGTCATTTATGTAAATTTATGGTCTTAATGTGTGTATGTTATGTATAATTATGGTCTTTATGTGTGTCCTTTATGGATATTTATGGTCTTCATGTGAGTACTTAATGTATATTTATGGTCTTTATGTGTGTATTTCATGTATAATTATGGTCTTTATGTGTGTCCTTTATGTATATTTATGGTCTTCATGTGTGTTCTTTATGTAAATTTATGGTCTTTATGTGAGTATTTTATGTATAATTATGGTCTTTATGTGTGTACTTGATGTACATTTATGGTCTTCACGTGTGTACTTTATGTATATTTATGGTCTTCATGTGAGTACTTTATGTATATTTATGGTCTTCATGTGTACATTTTATGTATTTTTATGGTCTTCATGTGGGGATGGCGCCATCTCGTGGGCCTTCCCTGTCTGTGCACCCTTGTGTGTCATTATTCCTGATTATTTGCACCTTCTGTTCTCAGCTGTTTGTAATCACGTCTTGTCTTCTCTGTGTATTTAAGCCTGTCAGTGAGTCTTTTCTTTTGTCTCGTCGTCGTTTTGTAATGTCCTTTCAGCCTGATCTGTTCCTCGTTCCCTGTTTTTGTAAGTTGCTGCCACGTCAGCCCCTTTGATTTATTATTATTATTATTAAAGAGTATTTATTTTTGTAAATCCTTAAGTCCTGACTCTTTCCCTACATTATTGGGTTCACTTCTGCCCTGCTCTGTCGGAAACCCTGACAGTACGACGAGTCCAACCATGAACCCAGCAGGTGAGAGTTTTTTGTCTGGACTCTGTGACACAGTCCAGAGGTATGTGGACTCAGCCACCTCCTGTAACCTGTGGGAAAGGTGGGAGGTCACAAAAAACATGTTAGAAAAATATATTCGTTTCCGTGGACTAATTGACTCTCCTGGTATGGAGGACATTTTGGACGAGGTGCTGGAGGAAGAATGTTGGCTGAAGCCACTCATCCACTGCCAGTCCTAGTCCTCCACCCAAACACCACTCCTCTGTTTCTGAACCAGTCCCGGACTCCCTGATCCTGATTCCTGAGATCCTCGCAGCTGCAGCCCCTGTGGTTGCCTCCTGGCCTACCACAGTCCCTGTAGTTTCCCCATCTCCTGCAGCCTCTGCATTACCCACGCAGTACGAGGATCCAGCCTGTTCTGAACCCACAGACTATCACCACCTTCATGCTCAGCTCCTCTCTCTTGGCCCGGTCCTGGACCTGAACCACATCGCCGCCCACGTCTGAGAGGTCGACGACAGAAGGATTCCAGAGATTCAGGGTGCATTCACAGCAGCCCTGCTTAGTCCGCTTTAATCGAACTCTAGCTCGTTTTCCTAGAAAGTCCGGTTCATTTAGGGAGGTGTGAACGTGCCATCGAACTCTGTCACGGAACAAAAAGGCAAACTCTGGCCCGGGCTAAAACCTAGGTCTCGGTCCGGTAGAAGCGAACTCCAGCGCGGTTCGAGTGCAGTGTAAGGTCGTTTTCACACCAGATAGTCCGGTAGACTCGGTTCGGTTCGGGACCAATATTCATGACCTTTTGTTACATTTGAGCTGGTGCGTTTGCATTCACACTGCAATGTGCAGTCGAGTCAACCAGTTGAACCAACCTGTTGAACCAACCTGTTGAACCAACCTGTTCCCCCGCTTGCCTGAGGGGGCGCTGCACCAAGAACTCTGAAAGAAACTACACAAAAACCTCTGAAGACACGTCGTCTTCTTCTTCTTCTCTTCTTCTTCTTCTGTAAATAAAAATAAAAACAAAGTGGCATCGTTTTAGCAGTTTTAGGAGTTATATTTTGTCATTTTTCAAAAATGGACTCAGCATGAGCAGAAGATGAGACAGAAGACCATGGAGAATATTGTTCTTCACACAAGTCAGCTGACGGCTCCATATAAGAGAAATGTGTGTTTGTTTGTCCTGTGGAGCGGGTCCGGTCTGTTTACATTCACACTGTACTGGAACCACTGGAGTTCTCTTCTACCGGACCCAGACCTAGGTTTTAGCCCGGGCCAGAGTTCACCTTTTTGTTCCGTGACAGAGTTTGATGGCGCGTTCACACCTCCCTAAATGAACTGGACTTTCTAGGAAAACAAGCTGGAGTTGGATTAAAGCGACTAAACAGGGCTGCTGTGAATGCACCCTGAATGTAAACAGACCGGGCCCCGCTCCGCAGGACAAACAAACACGCATTTCTCTGACCTTATATGGAGCCGTCAGCTGACTTGTGTGAAGAACAACATTCTCCGTGGTCTTCTGTCTCTTCTTCTGCTCATGCTGAGTCCATGGTTGAAAAATGACTAAATATAACTCCTAAAACTGCTAAAACTTGATGCCACTTCGTTTTTGTTTTTATTTACAAAAGAAGAAGAAGAAGACGTGTCTTCAGAGGTTTTTGTGTCGTTTCTTTCAGTAGCTCTTGCTGCAGCGCCCCCACAGGCGAGTGGGGGAACAGGTTGGTTCAACAGGTTGACTCGACTGCACATTGCAGTGTGAATGCAAACGCACCAGCTCAAATGTAACAAAAGGTCATGAATATTGGTCCCGAACCGAACCGAGTCTACCGGACTATCTGGTGTGAAAACGACCTTAGTCCCTGAGCCTGCAGCTAACCCTGTTCCTGAACCCGCCGCTGACCTGTCCGCTGAGCTCCTTGCCGCTGACCTGTCCGCTCAGGTCCTCACTCCTGGTCCGTCCGTTGAATTCCTTGCTCCTGGTCCGTCCGCTGAGGTCCTCGCTCCTGGTCTGTCCGCTGAGGTCCTCGCTCCTGCTCCGCCCGCTGAGGTCCTCGCTTCTGCTCTGTCTGACCTGTTCCTGCCTGAACGGCCACCCATCTGAGTGGCCTGTGGGACGACCTCTCGACCACCTGCCTGACCGGCCTTGGACTGATGTATGGTCTCCCAGCCACTTGTCTGTCCTGCTCCTGCCTGACAGGCCCCGGCTTGATGAGTGGTCTCCAGGCCGCCCGCCCAACCTATTCCAGCCTGATGGACAGCCTCCTGGCTGCCTGCCAGACCTGCTCCAACCTGATGGACGGCCTCACGGCCACCCAGACTTTTGTGTTCCCTTGTTTGTGTCTAGTTAGTTCCCTGGTTTTGTTTTTTGTCCGTTTGTTTTTGTGATGTTTTGTCTTGGGCCCTCCATCCTTGCAGTTCCTCCCTCCACCCACCCAAGTATTTTGGGGGGGCTTTTTTTGGGGACGCCAGGGGGCATCCTTGAGGGTGAGTACTGTAGGAATGGTGCCATCTTGTGGGCCTTCCCTGTCTGTGCACCCTTGTGTGTCATTATTCCTGATTATTTGCACCTTCTGTTCTCAGCTGTTTGTAATCACGTCCTGTCTTGTCTGTGTATTTAAGCCTGTCAGTGAGTCTTGTCCTTTGTCTCGTCGCTGTTGGGTATTGTCCTGTCCTGCCAGCCTGATCTGTTCCTTGTTCCCTGTTTTTGTAAGATGCTGCCACATCAGCCCTTTTGATTTATTATTATTATTATTATTATTATTATTATTATTATTATTATTATTATTATTAAAGAGTATTTATTTTTGTAAATCCTTGAGTCCTGACTTTTTCCCTGCATTATTGGGTTCACTCCTGCACTACGTACTTTATGTATATTTATGGTCTTTGTGTGTACTTTATGTATATTTATGGTCTTTGTGTGTACTTTATGTATATTTATGGTCTTCATGTGTACTTTATGCATATTTATGGTCATGCGTACATTTTATGTATATGTATGTAACCTGTCCTGACATGTGACCTTGCCAGTATAAATCCTGGTTAAAAGTCTTCTCCTGCTGAGTGTGCTTCTTTAGAGTAAACAATGTCAGAACGAGAGAATCTCTCCAACGGTCTCCTCAACATGTTTCCATCTTTCAGCTCCGTGTGTCTCTTGGTCTTTAAATATTTTCCCATCTTTAAAACTTTACCTATTTGAGTTTCGGCCGAGTCTTTCAGTGCTCACACCTTCTAGTTTTTAATTTGTTTTCTGCTTGTGCTTCAGATTCAAACTTACAACTGGAAGGTCTCGTTGAATTTTGCCGTCCAGCTGTTGTTTTTGGACTTTGTGGTGAACTTGCGCTTCTTGTCGGCCAGGAATGGACCCACCATGGAGACCTCGATGAACGGCCGGAACATCCCGGATGTTTGCCACTTCATGTCGTTCACGGCGATGACTGCGACGACAAACAGACAGCACAGAACGAACAATGATCAACAGTTTTACATTTGCTGGTGATTTTTACTGAGAACTAAAGTTCAGCACCTAAAGTCCACACCTGACGTATCCACCTCCTGGTGAGGACGAGGCTTCATGCACTCAGTCTTACAACAAGCGTCAGTTTTTGTGTTTGTGGTTCGTGTGAATGTTTTGTCTGTTAGTTCTTTGTATTTCTGCCATGTTCCCGTAGTTTTCCACTGCTTGTCTTCTTCTTCCCAGTCTCTCTCACCTGTTCCCCAGGTGTTGCTCCAGTCCAGTGAAGCTGTCAGGGTCCACGCCACACATCAGAGGAGCATTGCATGCTCTAAACGTCACGTCAGGTTTTATCTTCAGCTCTAGCTGTCGACATTTTTCAGCCATGTCTGTTTGTTTTGTAAAAATAAAGTTGAGCTTGTTTTTCCTGAAGCTTCTTGTGTCAAATCTGTGATCCTGGGATTAACACCTCCTGCCACGTGACAACAGGCCCAACATTTTGGGCTTTACTTCTTTTCATCTGTTACGAGTGTCTCTTCATATACTTCGGCTCTCCTAAACAATTCTCTAACAAACTCTTTTTGAACAAAAACAAAAAACTGGTCTCTTGTCTCATAATAATATTTTAAAGATGAAAAACCCAGTTTCAGTGCACGACAAACAAACGAATCGATGTTACTGTTGTAATAAAATCTGAGCGTCACCTCGGACGTTGACCTTGCGCTCCTTCCCGAGCATCGTGTCGATCTGCAGCACAGCCTCTCCGATCGGCTTCTCCACCCCGGATCCTGTAAAGCACATGTTATTAGACTGTTACCGCTTCAGTGACTGACGTCGAGCATCTTTTGACTTTAAATCAGTTCCATGAACTTTATGAAGAATGGAAGGAAGAAGGCGTACCTCTTTCAGGTCGGACCTTCTCACTGCCTGTGATCCTGACGCCCATCCCATCATGGACTGAAGAAACATTCAGAGGAATTGTAGTTCAACTGCAGCCAGAATGAGAAGACTCCAGCAGGTTTCTGGTCGTGTCTGGACTCACCTTGGGAGTGTTGGGTCATGACGAACGTTTTGATCAGAGCGTCGGTGCTCTGGGTGTACAGCGACAGGGCATAACGTAACGAAGCCAGCTCAGGACTTTTCTCAACAAACGCCTTCTTCAAACCGTTGCCTCCAGCGTGGAAGTATTGCTGAAAGGCAGCAAAGACAATTTAAGAATTTTATATAAAAACAAACAAAAATGAGATTTCTACTCAGTCACACTCATGTTGGAAAAACACGGTGAGAGTTTTTTTGTCCCATCCATTCAGAAAAGACTTTGATTCTTGTTGGAGACGTGGGACAAACAACTCTTGACATATCTTCTAGAACTGTAAAGTTATTTGGAACAGATTTATGGTTTACTGCAGATGGCATTGTGATCTGTGGTGAGAACAGGGAACAGGTGGAAGAGAACTTGGAGAGGTGGAGGTATGCACTTGAAAGAAGAGGACTGAAAGTCAGCCGTAGTAAGACAGAGTCCATGTGTGTGAATGAGAGGGAGGAGGTGGAACAGTGAGACTACAAGGAGCAGAGGTCACAAAGGTGCAGGACTTCAAGGACTTGGGGTCCACTGTCCAGGAACATGGGGAGTGTGGTGAAGAGGTGAAGAAGAGAGTCCAGGCAGGATGGAGTGATGGAGGAACGTTTCAGGAGTGATTTGAGACAAAAGAGTGTCAGCAAAGGTCAAAGGAAAAGTTTGCAAGACAGTGGTGAGACCAGGTATGTTGTATGGTCTGGAGACAGAGACATGGACAAAAAGACAGGAGACAGAACTGGAAGTGTCAGAAATGAAGATGTTGAGGTTCTCCTTAGGAGAGACAAGGATGGAGAAGATCAGGAATGAGATCATCAGAGGTACAGCACAGGTTGAACAACTGGGAGATAAAGTTAGGGAGGACATACTGAGATGGTTTGGACATGTCCAGAGGAGGGACAGTGGTTTGGACATGTCCAG